TGGGAATATTGAATTGGAGGTCCGGCTCATTGATATTGATGCAGATCTCCTCCAGGTCATTGACGAACCCTAGGTTCGGTGCAAGCGCGTCAATGGACTTCTCCACCAACAACCGCTTCAGGAGGTAGGATTGCAGCTTCGAGCTCCCAGGGATCTTGTAGTTCTTGGCCGCTAGCGCGTGAGCAACGCGCTACATGCGGTCGTTTTCGGTCACCAACGCGCCTGCCGCCTTGCAGATCTCGCTCACTTTGTTGGCGATCGTACCCAAGTCCCCTATTCCACCATGGAACGCCACATCACGGTTCACGCACACAACGTTTGCATACGTTGACGAGGTCCGATATCGCCTTCGGCAATGAGTCGATGATGGGTCTGGTAGTTGCCTGCCATCCGCAACCCCTCATGCACATCCAGTCGCAGAGCGACATCCAGATGTGCACCGATACAGGTGAAGTGTCAGTATCACGCCTCCGTCGTTCACCGATAAGCTTTTCCAGTTGTTGCAATCGGGAGATGATGTTCACCGTGTCCGGGTTCGATGAAACTGGCTCGCTCGACCCGTAACACGCTCTCTCCTCGATGTTCGTCCATTCCTGCTCGTTGACCATCATCTGGAAAGATACCCTCTCGGCCTCTTTCCTTGATATCCTCGGCCTCTCGTTCTTGATCTCACGATCATCCCTCAAGCGTCTGCGTCCCCTCCGTGTCCGATTGTCATCTTCCTCTTCCTCGTCTTCCTCATCCTCGTCGTCATCGTCGTCCTCATCTTCATCGGGTGGTACGTCCGGAGGTCCTCCTCCACCACCTGCCAAACTCAAATGACGTTGACCTGGTCCCTGTTGGTTTCCACCGAACGAGAACCCGTTGTAATCCAATGGAGGTGTATTGTCATTGTTTCCCCCTCCATTACCACCACCACCAGTTGTAGTAGCTTGTGGGACTAGCCCGACAACCCCTTGCATCTGTGATAGGTGTACATCCATCATTGGCCGAAAAACGGAAAGAGAATCGAACCCGGTACCTGTGACGAAGTAGGGATCGAATTGGATGATGATGACGGGTATGTCCCGGTCATCTTCTTGTCTTCCCTAATCGAATTAAGTTGGGGTCCTCCCTCAGTGCGCTTCACTACTGCTCGTTCACGATGTTCGTCCTTCTTGCTCGAGGCCTCCTGTATAGCTTCTTGGAAGTTCTGAGTTTCTCGTTATCTGCGTCGAGCTGACGAACGAAGCTCTCTTGTTTGAGCATCGCTTCCCGATTCTTCAGTTGTTGTTGAAGCCTGCTCATCTCCTCGAGGTACTCATCATGCATCCCTTTGGCTGTCGACTTCCAGAACTCAGCCTCTTTCGACTTCTCGTCCATCGTGCGTCGTTCTTCTTGGGCTGCTTCCCTGACCTGGGCCAATTCCAAGATTGCATCTTGACGATGACCAGCCTCTATCGCAAGCATCTAGTCTTTCTTCGACACGTCGGATTCATACTGTTTGACGATCTCTTCCTTCTCTCGAAGGAGGCACTCTGCTCTTTTCGATTCAGCGTCTCTCCAGCTCTTGGGTCCGGATGGTACTTCCATAGTCTTCTTGATGAAGATTTGCCATTGCCGCCGACATTTCATCAAGTGTCTTCTGATACTCCCCGATCTCCATCTCCATCTTGTTTTTCTCTTTGATCACCGCGCGAAACTCGGCACTCGTGGGCGATTTGGATCTCCCACCTTTCAACGTCGACCTCACGCTCTTTTGCGACGCCCGTGGGGTCGCTGGTGAAGATGATGATCTCCTCGGCGGAGAATCTCTCTGTCTCGATTCCTGATGAATGGCGATTTGTTTCCATGATCTTGTTGGCGTGGATATGTCGCTGAATAGCGCTTCCAGGTTCATCCTGCGAGTCGACAACCATGTCCATGACTGCAGGAAGAGCCATCGATCCATTGGATCCCTCCGAACTGTCGTTTCCAAAAGTCGCAGTACTTGGGCTCGCTGAAGATTCCATTGTACTGTGTGGGTTATTGTTCTTCTGTTGTTCCTGTACCCGCAATACACGTAGAAAGGATATACGGCCAAACCGATACAGCCAAACCAGTGCAAAACTGTTGTAAGGGGTATTGTCCAATAACCGCAAACACACACCCGATATCAGCGGCGCGAATGAACCTCTTTTCTCTCACACAGATCGATCACAGGCGAACGTAGTTCATGCAAGACCTTGAGCCCTACTTGTAACTTGAGCCAGATGTGGCAACCAAAGGGACGTTCCAATCAACAAGAACATGGACCTCAGAACGGCTTCCCAATTTAGGCACGGGGCCAGGAGGGCTTGAACAGTTTTAAGGCACAAGGTGGGAGATGCGATTGTTTGGAGGAATTATTTCCAGGCGTTTCTTTTCCTCGGTGCAGTTTTAGTGTATGTTGGAAGCACAGACTTTATATCTGTGGAAAAGTGCTTGCTGGAGCTGCTGCAAGCGTTTTTGTGCGGCCAAGAGGTGGATATTCGGGCTCGTGTTTGGCATCTCGTTGCCGTGCACGCGAAGGCGTACAGGACTGCGCGGCGCTGGTTCAACCGCCATGACAGAAGCCGCATGTTGTGGCCTCAGGCGGCGGAGTGTCCGCGAATCGCCTACGACTGCCGCTACTACGACGCATTATGTCATGTGTTGGGCGAGCCCTCATTGTGGTGGCAAGGCGCAGAGCAGGCAGGGTGTAAGCTGGCAGCGTTGCGTGAAGAAGTGCCTAGCCAAAGGCCGCTGGAGTCAGTAGCGGGCGCAGTCGAGGCATTTTGCATGACCTTGCTGGATTTACATCTTCTTGGCCGGCCAAAGATGCCTACAGCGGCGCGGCAGGAGTTCAAGCTGGCTGTTCATTGTTACTGGGAGAAATTTCTATTTTTGCATTCTCTCGTACTACTAGCAGAATTGTTGCCGGGGCATGAGTCCAGTCTCGAGCACATCAGTTCTCGCTTTTCTTTTGTGGGGCCAGCGCCTCGTTTCTTATTTGCTAAGCTTTTTGGTTCTCGAAAGTCCGTAGCGCTGCACCAACGGGCTCTGCCGACCTTTGTGCTTGACCGCGCGTTTACATGCGAAACTGGGCATGAAGTGGACATGATACGGGGTGCAAATTACGCCCTGTGAGTTCCACCGGCTAGGGAGTATTTATGAACGTTTTCTGCAATCAGGTGTGCTCATGTCTTTTCGGCTGGGGCATTCTACGCAGCAACGCCAACATTTGGAGCACCAATACAGCGATGAAGTGCGTCAAGTCGAACAGAACTTTCGTGTGGCGCAGAATTGTGGGTTTGGAGGGCATAATTGGAACGACGTGAACCCGGACCAGGAAGCATGGGTTCTTCGCTGCTTGGACACGCACGGGGAGCCAAAGCAGCTAGCTAGGCGTGTTCGCGATCGGTTTCGCTTCTTTCGCAACAAGGAGCTTCGCTGGGATCAGCCGGTGTGAGTGGAAGGCGCGCTTGTAAGCTGGCGAGACAACAGGTGCCGATGCCCTATCGCAGTGTCTGTTGCAGGGTGTTGTGCTTGCGGGGAAGTAGCACCTCAAGAAGACTCCTAACGCCGATATCAGCTTTTTGTGTTGGTCAGGAAGGGAGATAAAATTTGGTCCAGAATTAGTCAAGGTACCCGAAGCATGAGAGGATGCCTTCGGCCTCGAAACACATCTAATGTCTGGGCTCGCTGCGCGGAGCTTTTTCTTTCAAGGCTTTACGGACGAGTAGCAGGGGATGCCATTGGCTCCTGTGTGTACGGCTACAGAAGGATACCTTTGGCTGCTGTGATATTGATTGCATCCGGGCTTATCTCGCACCAGGGAGCAGAGGAGGCTGTCGTCTCTAGGATTTCTATTCATGGAAAGATGCCTTTGGCTCTTAAGACACGGCTGGCTTGATTGCGCAAAATCCGGCAGGTGTCCTCGAAGTTTCGGACAGGTCACCTTGGCCCCAACCCCGCATTGTAGCTTGAACTCCTGCCGCGCCGCTGTAGGCATCTTTGGCCGGCCAAGAAGATGTAAATCCAGCAAGGTCATGCAAAATGCCTCGACTGCGCCCGCTACTGACTCCAGCGGCCTTTGGCTAGGCACTTCTTCACGCAACGCTGCCAGCTTGCGCCCTGCCTGCTCTGCGCCTTGCCACCACAATGAGGGCTCGCCCAACACATGACGTAATGCGTCGTAGTAGCAGTCGTAGGCGATTCGCGGACACTCCGCCGCCTGAGGCCACACCATGCGGCTTCCGTCATGGCGGTTGAACCAGCGCCGCGCAGTCCTGTACGCCCTTCGCGTGCACGGCAAGAAGATGCCAAACACGAGCCCGAATATCCACCTCTTGGCCGCACAAAAACGCTTGCAGCAGCTCCAGCAGGGGCTTCTCTGAAGCTGCATGCCCAGACAAAAGCACCACAGATATAAAGTCTATGCTACCAACACTAAAACCGCACCGAGGAAGAGAAACGCCTGGAAATAATTCCTCCAAACAATCGCATCTCCCACCTTGTGCCTCAAAACAAAACACCGACACCCGGTAACAACCCCAAAACACTATTGACCCCGTCCAAATTGAGTTACGCAACATGAAGGTTGTAAAAAGCGAGCCAAAAGAGATCCCGGTTACTCCAATGCAAATTAACATGGAATCCCTTTGGGGTGTCTTAAAAGATGTCTCCTCTACGAATTAGGGTTTTGCGGGTTCCTTGTTACGCCAGGTTCAAAGTACATGTTGCACATGTTTTGAGGGTGGGTAAGTACAGGTGACAAAACCATGGGGGAACTATGATTATTTCACCCGGATTTTTGTTCTGCCTACCTAAGCAAGGGGGCCCTTCCCAAATCCTCGACTGAGACCTGTTGGGCTCCTGCCGATCTGGAGTGTATTCCCAGACCCGCCGAATCTAGGAATCCCAAAAGTGAGGATGCAACGTGGCTGGTTTGGCACCCAATGTCGCCGCTAAGATGGCGAACCCTCTGCGACTCAGACAAAAAAAATGCTGGGCGTCCAAACCCGTGCGGACTTGTCGATGCCGCAGGTGACCACCAGCTTCCGAATGCACACATCCATGCCCAGGCTGGCGCCTGGCGTCATGCGCGTCAGACAAAAAGCTTGCCGAGCTGCATTTGTTTTGTTTGGGGGGCTGGGTACATGTTTGCTGTGTGTATGTTGTGTGTGTGTGTGTTTATCTGTGTGCGTGTGCGTGTCCTGGCCACCTTTTTGAGTGTCTATTCTGCAGAGAGCCCAATCTCTCAATAATGGATGAACTGAGAGTGGATGTCCCTGGTCCTTTACTCTGTGGATTATTCCTGCTGCGAAACTCCTTTTGTATGGCGACAGAATGGATACTGTAATGCCTATGTTACAAGAGGGGCCTTGAGCCAAAATGGTTGATGGTTGCTCAAGGGTTACCATGCCAAGCAAAAGCAACACAAAATAGACACAATTTCTTTTGACCCTTAACACCAAAATGGTATTATTGGCTTCATGGCCTCTAGCCGTAGCCATTGGATATGGTGTGCTTGCCGTAGTCATATGTTTATTATTTAAATTGAATCATCCTGCTTCTTGCGCGGATGAAGTGTCCTGTGGCAAAATGGAAAATGCTTTGTGCTGGATGAATGAGATACCTAGACGTATCTAAAACGGAAATGTGCGGGACACTTTGTACACGCAGGATGGAGTAAAACTATTGATCACTCACTGATATAGTCTTGATGTGCAGGAGGATCAATTGATTGGAATTCGTAGTGCCGGTTCTGTGTGAATGCTCTCAGCGTGGATTCTGATAGCTTCTCATTGCAATCATAGTATCTCATCATCTCTGTGGGTACCAATGATAGCTGCTGTCGGATTGGCTTCCATAATGGCCGCCGTAATCTTGCCATCCCTAATAGCCATAGTGCTTCCATCCTTGCTTGTAGGATTGGTCATGTGGCTTCCATGTGGTCTCCTTCTTTCTCCTTCTGACAGCTGCGAGGCTGCGGACATAGACCAACAATGGGATGTGAGAATCTTGATCGCATGGTCCAAGCATTGGCATTTCATTGTTGATGTACTTGTAGCGCTCGGATGTCATGAGTGATCAATGTGCTTCATCAAGAACAAGGTCGGCTTCCTGATCATCGCATGGCCTCGTCCTCTGAGAGTCTTCTGATTCATCTTCTTCTCGGTCAGTGTGCTGGATTGTTCTCTGTGAACTTCCAGTGCCGGATGAAGTTGGAACGTGCGGAATAAGTTCTTCCTCACTATCGGAGTGCATCGGCAAATTGGCTGGATTGTTCGGATTGAAGTTGGATGAAGCTGCAGGCTCATTCCTGGGAGATGCTCCTAGTCATTCCTCGTCGCCTGGACTCTCGCCTGACTTCTTCTTCTTTCCTGTCTTCTGCTTCTTGGATGAACTGCTCTGCACCGGAGGTGCAGTTGTTTCTTCTTGCTCAAGATGGGGCAGTTCAAGCTCTTCATCATCGTTTTCTGCTTCGGGATTCGTCAGAATTGCAGGTGGTCAAAGTAACATCACCCCCCAATCGATTGAGTCCACTTGAGGACGAAATTGACTGCTTTTGCCGTTTGACTGCGGGATTTCCTCCGCCTGGTTTGTCATGTGGCAGCAGCGGTGGATCTACGGGACTGTCTGGTGATACACCTGGCGGTGCTAGCGGCAGGGGATGATCGGGTCGATCATTCTGACCAGGCTGATGTAGAGGATCCGGGGATGTGACGTGTGCTCGTCCGGTGGAATTGGAGGTCTTGGATCAGGCATGGGATGGTCCGGTTGATCAAGTGGCTGCTCTGTGTGTCAGAAGGTCGAGGTAAATTCATCGAATCCATGGGATCAACCTCGACTGGCATCGGCTTGACAACCGGTGCATCTGAGAATGAGTGATGAACTGATGTGTACATCGCTGCATGCCGCGTCTTCGGATTGTAGCTCTCCCAATTGCACTTGGATGCTGGCAAGACCCAAATTCTGTTCACCTGATCTGGTTGCCAGAAAGCTAGAATGGCATCGTCCGGAGGTGAATTGATAGGCATGTTGCTACCAATCGTGTGGGCGTATGCCGTGCATGCATCGTAATGTGTGGATGAGATGAATAGTTGTCTCAACTTCTTGCAACCATTCCACATGTTCTGACATCGCCAGTCATTAGGATTTTGTTACAAAACGTCGATTTCAGTCCCTGGAGGGTACGGTTTCAGTGTCTTCTGAAACTTTTGGACTAGCGGATCTTGTATGACTAATGGTTGAACATTCTTGTTCAACGGGAGGTCCTGGATAGTCATGTTGAACTCCTTGTTGATGACTTCCATCTCCTTTCGGATATTATCAACTTGCTTGTCGATGAACGGCTCGTTGATGCCAATCGTGTGGGATGAGATGCATAATTGTCTCCACTTCTTGCGACCATTCCACATGTTCTGACATCGCCAGTCAGTAGGCTTCTGTTGCAAAACGTCGATTTCAGTCCCCGGAGGGTACGGTTTCAGTGTCTTCTGAAACTTTTGGACTAACGGATCTTGTATGACTAATGGTTGAGCATTCTTGTTGAACGGGAGGTCCTGGATTCTAACAGCGGTGCTGCTGCTAGTCATATTGAACTCCTTGTCGATGGCTTCCATCTCCTTTCGGAGAATATCAACCTGCTTGTCGGTGAACGGCTCGAGGATGTCCTCGAGAAGGTACACTTCAGTGTCAAGCGGTTTCACCCTAAGGTGACGCAGGATGATGCGCGCGAGATCCTCGCAGAACTGGTCAGGATATACCTGTGCCAATTTGGTTCTGCTTCCAAAAGTGCCGGCATTTCCCTCAAGGAGTGGATGCTCATGTTTCACTGAACTGGTGAAATTTTACACTTTCTGAAAATCGGTCTCATTACCTCGGAAGGTAAACAGTGCATCAAGCTTGCTGGCTTGAGACTCCTGAGTCCTGATTCAGGACCTTTCAGTCCGTATGCACAGCCAATAAAAATCTCCCCATTTTCAAGTGACGAATGGATCTGAAAAGAGTTGCTGCATGCACTGCAAAAACCAGATCCTGGATGTTTCCGGATTTTCGCTGATGAAGTATCTTCTGTGCTTCAGCTGATACCGCGCGATGGATGCCACAAACTCAACCATCGGGATGGAGAGTTTTCGCTTTTCCCAGACCTTGTTGGTCTTGTTGGATGTTCTGCATATTTGACCATGGTCCACAGACTGGTGCCATGAGGATGAGATCAGGCGCTTGCTCCTTGATGATCTCCATGACCATGTGTCGTCCCTTGGATGTCATTACGTCAAATCCGTTGCGGATGTCGACTGGTGTCCCAACCTTGAAGCCTGTGAGTGCACAGCATTGACTGAATCTGGCACTTCCTGCAAAGATCTCAAGAACGTGGAGCTTCCCCTTACGTACACGGTTCCAGTGCGCTTCTTCGGGAATGGACGTCATGTCTTCCACGTGTCGAGACCCTGCGGATGTCAAAGTCTCTGACGGTGTTGGTGCCAACTGCAGGTGGTACTGGTCAAACTAGTTCCTGAGGACAGTGATGTTCTCGGCTTCCTGCGCAGTTGTCACTGCCTCCGCGGTGAGCAATGTCGTTGCTCCATCCAGGATGACGAAAACAGTGATATGTTCTCCAGTTCCAAGAGGACTTGACAGTGATCAATGAATGTCATGTCTCCGAATGTGTCCGCTCGAAGTCCGCTCGTCTTGCTTCGTGATGGTGCATGGTTTGCCGCTTGGCAAACTTCGCATTCACTTCGGATTTTGTCAAATAGATCGTAGATGGATTTTGGCAAGTGAAGCGCACGAGTCCTGAATCGAAATTGGTCTGTAGTCATACGATGATGCTGCAGGTGGAGCTTTTTCAGCGCTTCTGGCCTGGACCATCGCTGATGGATTCTGCCTAAGGCACTCGGAAGTGACGTGGGTTCTTCCCTAGATGGCATTGCAGGATCTGACTCAGTAGTCAACTGGCCCTTCTTGTCGATGGTCCTGTCTGCTGCCGATCCTGATCTCTACCTTTGGCTGCATCAACAATTTCCGTTGTACGCTCTCGGCTGATGTTGTCAGGATTAACTAGACACTCTTTCGCCCCCGTGGGTGTGAACAACGCCTTGCGGGGCGTAATGTGCACACGGGTGAACTGGCTGTTCTTCTTTATGAGGAACTCGGTGTTCTGCCTTCTGCGCTTGAAGAAACTGAGAAGTCTGTATAGATGCACGCTGGTCGACCCTTTCAGGAAGAACTTCTTCAGCGTGTTCTTGAAATAGTTGACTCCTTCGTTAGGATCTTGCAAGAGGTCCTTCTGGAGGACTGCCTTGTACATGTGAGCGTCGCCAATGAGACGGCTCTTCAAAAGAGGTCCTCTTTTAGGTGCCTTGATGGTGGTGAAGGTCACCCAGTCATCTACAAGTTCTTCACATCTAAACTAGCTGACTTTTCCGTCGTTTGATAGCGGCTGCTTGGCGGTCATCGATAAATTGAGCGTCTCTTCAGTGTAACCGGATAATCGGCCAACACTTGAATAGGCCTCCATGCAGCCTTCTCCATCGGATAACATTCTGTGTGGATCTCTGCGGAAAACCCGCTCCGCTACCACACTTGAGACCCACTACCGGGGGTGCCGTATCCTTGAAGGGAACAGGTGCCTTGTGGTAGTGGTAAATATATGTAGTCCCTGGATGTATTCTGCAAGAGAGCCCAATATGTCAATCATGGGTGAACTGAGAGTGGATGTCCCTGGTCCTCTACTCTGTGGATTATTCCTGTAAGGCGCTCTGCGACACTCCTTTTGTATGGCAACATAATGGGTACTGTAATGCCTATGTTACAAGAGGGGCCTTGAGCTAAAATAATTGATGGTTGTTCAAGGATCAACATGCGAAGCAAAAGCTACACGGGGGGGGGGGGGGGGAGGGGTGTTTTAAGAGAAACCAAAAAACACAAATCCATGTCAGTTCATCAGGGGTGAACTAACAAGAAAGTAATGCAACCACCAAAAGGGACCCCCGGATTCACAACTGCAGGTGTTGAAAAATCAGGGTTAACATTACGAACATGGGTGTGTTCAAAAGAAAACCCAAGGGAAACCAAAATCCG